GGAGTTTGTCGCACAGTTTGCTGCCAGCTAAAGGTCCAGCTGCTGGATTCACAGGGAGACAAGAGAATGAGAGCTAACGTCGCTCTGAGATGGAGAAAGATGTAGGAAGACAGACAGAGAGGAAGAAGAGTGGTGAGATTTAAAGGTAAAGACTGCTCACTGATAAACTGCAGATTTAAAGCTTACATGTCATTTTAATCACATATTGAATTTGTGTATTTATAAATTATGGTTGTTTTTTTTTTCATTTTGTGAAACGTCCTGCTAAACAAAGAAAGCTATACTAGTTGTGTGTTATTCAAATGTTTGAATGAAAATTCTGGGTAGTTATGTGAAGGATAAACAACTGTATAGGTCTAGTATAAAGATAGTATAAAGGGTATAGTGTCAGTGTAGGGGGTGGACATTGGACTTTGATACTAGCTTTGAAACATCTGATGACATCTTGTTGGATAAATCCACAAAGAGCAGAAGGTTAGCTGATCACAGCCAGTACACTACAAAAACCTACTGAGGCTCACATTAGAAACTGTGAGATGTTATTCTTTTCCGTGCACTGAGCCACTAAACAGATATTAGTATTCCCCACCTGCTGAATCCCACTGTAACCTTTGACTAGACTAATTTTATTGTTTAGGTGTATGCGTTTGCCACCTCTAAGGATAACACACCATGTCACTAAGCTCAGTATATCACAGACTTTTTTCTTGTCAATGATTGTTAGTTCACTCTACTGAAATGAGCTCCACAGTCAGCATTTTGCTAAATTCATGCCAAAAGAATTAAGGCAGTTCTGAAGGCAAAATGGGGACCAACCAGGTACTGGCAAGATGTACCTAATGAATCGTCCAGTGAGTGTATATACAGTAAAAGCATTTTGTCCTTAAATTTCTTCAGATTTCTGTGAACCTGACAACATGAAGCTATTAATATCCCTTGTGCTCTTGGCTCTCAACTGAGAAAATATCTGTCGTCTACTGTGGCCCCACTAATAGCTCATGTACGGAGCTGTACTTTATTGACCCTGTTGCTCCTAAAATCCAAGGGGTGCCTTGAGTCTTCGGCTTAGCTCTCTTCTGCAGTGCTTAATGAGACCAGATGCTGGCTCATATTAGGGTTCTTTTTTTTCTTTGAACAGCTGTACTGGCAACCTGCTCATCTATTGGCTCGGTGTGGCTGTGGAAGGAGAGACATTTTCTGGAGTTTCTGAGAGATCGGTTCAAATTAACATTTTTTTGTTCAAATACATTTTATGTTTGCATTCAGCTGCACTGAAAATACTTAAACTCACGTTTTTCAATTAAACAGTTTTCAGTTCTGTGTAACCATATTTAGCCTTAGACATGTTTCGGTGTTTATGATACCAGTCTCCAGCTGGTAAAGTCAGACTAGGTATCAAAATATTCAATGCTGATTTAGAGATCATATGTGTAAAATGGCCTGGTAAATGGCCTGTATTTCATTCACACACACATTCATACACTGGTGATGGCAGCTACATTGTAGCCACAGCCACCCTGTGGCGCACTGACAGAGGCGAGGCTGCCAGACACTGGCGCCACCGGGCCCTCTGACCACCACCAGTAGGTACAAGGACACAACGACCGAGACTGTCCAAGCCGGGGCTCGAACCGGCAACCTTCCAATTACAAGGCAAACTCCCAACTCTTGAGCCACGATCGCCCCTACTATATCTTATAGGTTAACTTTTAACTGTCTCACTCTTTTCTCTTGATCTCTCATTTAGATACAAGCTAAATTTCACCTGCTAATCTTGGTAGCGTATTACTAACCTTTACTTTCGGGCATTATATTGTAGTGATGAAGAAAAAGGCACAGAGATACTGCTGTAACATTTCTTTCATTTTGCCTGTATTTTCTCTTATGATACAGCAAATGGTACAGCTTTTGAATTTCTGTTACACTGAAATATCTTGATGCATGCTCCATCATCCAGGTAATGAAATCCAAGAAAGCTTATTCTGTTCATCTGGATGTAGCGTTGGAAGAAACGTTTGTCACTCATCCAGGTGACTTAAATGAGTGAGCCAGTGTTGATTGTGTTCTTCTCGATGAACACAATCAACTTTCTGAGTGTTACACTGAGAGTTGGCCCTGTCTACTTTATGACTGATTTCACTAACTTAATCACCCCTGTGCCGTTCACAATGGCTGAGGCCTTGTGCGTATTGCTATCTCATACAGTGAAAGCAAAGAGAGAGCTGCTGACTTTTTGTTTGGCTGTTTAACTCACATTTACAATAATGTGCTGAAGTGTTGAATCACCCCTCATTTATTAATGTTTTGGCTTCTAAGGAGACAGCGTTAATTTTTTAAATGTGGTTTTGAACAATAGTTCTCTGGGCTTTTCCAAGCTGGACTTTGATTACTTTTTAACTCATCTTCAGTCCAGTCTTTCACTTTAGTCCAGGGGCAAACAAATGCCAGCGAGAACACACTTTTACAGACATACTGTTAAATTGTAAGATAATTCCCAAAGAGCTAATAGCTTAAAAATTTACCATATCTCAGTACACTGTGCAGTGTGTTCTTAAAAAATCACAGGAAACTGGACACTTGGAAACTGGAGGACAAAAAAGAAAAAAGATGTGGCAAGCCTAAAAAAAAGAAAAATCTGCAACAGATAAACAGTATTTGAAAGCCCCCAAAAAATCCAATTGAGACCTGACACAGGCCGACGATATGAATCTGGTGCTTTAGTTGATTGCGCTAGTGTTCAATGAAGCCTCATCAGAAATGGTCTCAGTGGAAGGGTGGCTGTCAAGAAGCCATTCTTCAGATTTTGATCCACCATGAATTCAACAGCTTTATTTTTCAGCAGCCATCCCAAACACACTGCCAATGCAGTAAAAGCAAGCCAGATATAAATAAACTTTTTTTTTTAGTAGAGGACTATACAGTAATATTGTATCATTATACTTTGAGGCTTTCATTGTAGTATCTTATTGTATATCATCATTTCTCTGAAGCATATGTGGCTGTGGGTACTTGCTGTTAATTTTAACTTTATTGATTTCACATTAGGTTATTTGACAGCTAATAACTTACATAGGTTGCATTGCTAGTCCAGTACTTCACATGCCATTTGGGTTATTAGTATTGATCCGCCCTATCCTGTTTAGCAGTTTATAAAGCATTTAACAGTCCTGCTGCAGTCTCCAGCTGTTTAGTGTTGCACTTTCTAAAGATTGTGAGAGTCATAAAAGACAGATTCAAACCAAAAACGGTGAAGATGAGCAATGATAGTATAGTTTGATTACTGGCACAGTAAAATCAATTGTATAACAACTAACTCTGATAACTCTTTGCAATACTTCACCAGGAATTGATCGGAATAGATTTCTTTTTTTACTTGTGTAGCTCCCCCATTGGTTTTCGCTTTCCCATATATGGAACTATAATCCAGTGACACTGGTGTGTTTGTTTGTTTCTTTTAAAAGATCAAACCTCCAATTTGAATGAAATTTAAGCAAAAGAGCTGAGCCAAGATAACTTTGTTGACATCAGTTTTTTTTATTTCAGTGAAATTTGCCCTCATATGCACTTATAATACCCTTTTACATATCAAACTTCTTGATAAGTTCCTGAGCATTTAAGATAAAAAAAAATTAACGATGTGCTGCTTTAAAGCCAAACAATGATAAAGCCTTTCCATTCACTGCCCCTTAAAATTTGGACCAGCCACCCACTTATAATGTCAGATTATCTGTGCCAGACCTAAAGCTCATTTTAATGGTGTGGGAAGTGTTTACTCTCTGCGTATCTCTGCTTTGTTATTTTGTTTCTTCGTGTACTTTCTTTTTCCACCCTGTCGTGACTCAGACAGAGGCAGTTATACACGGATTTCCAGTGATACACTAAACCAAGCATCTCATTCCGGTTCCTCTGGCTGGGTCTCTACCTCCTGCATCAAATTCAGCTTTTGATATCAGCCAGCCCAAAGCGGGGCACCAGCAATGAAGCTGTCATGCTGTTTTATCCAAACAGACTCTTCCGCCCCAAACAGAGTCTGCCTGCAAAGCCGCTGTAATCCAACCCTGAAACTTGCCAACTTCCCAGACTCACAGAATCGTATCACCTCTCCGAATGGCTTTCTCCACCCATCCTTGTTTTCATCACCTCTCCTTCCTAACTCTGCTCCTCTCCATGTTTGTCAGTATTTCTTTATCCTCTCATCTTCCCTCAGTCTTCTGTCTTTCCGCTGCCTCCCTCCTCTCCCTTCACCTTTCCTCCCCTCCTGTGACCTCTTGCCAAAGCTCCAGGGATTCACTCAGTTGTTGTGATGGCAGAGGACTGTGGGATACCAGCTGCAGTTTTAATGATTTTGCCCCCAGGCACAGATCAGCCAGAGAAATACAGCTACCATTTTTTAACAGAATGGGAACTCTCACCCGGGCAACGCCTCTGTGAAATATGTGTGAATTTGGATATGCCTGTGCACAAACATCTAAACTTGTTTTAATATCACATCTAAGCGATGGCTTCGGCATTTTGTTTCTGGTCACTTTGAGAAATTTTAAATTGCATTATTATACATGTTTTCATAGCTGCTAGCGAGATAACTTTTGAGTGGGAGCAGTGTTGTTGCTGAAGTTGGAAGTTCATTTTAACTGTTTTTCTTTGTTTTCCTCCATGCCGCTTTGTCTCTCTTCATAGCTTCCACCGTACTCTCCCTCTCTCTTTTGGCTCAAGTTTGACAGCAGAACTGCGGCACGTCCTGCAAACACATTGCAATTAGCATCATGCGCTTCAGTGCATCCCAAACCGCTCGCTGATGAAGTTCAATCAATTCGCTTTAATTATAACTTTCTCAGAAACAGCTCTAATTTCTGCAAAAGTTTGATCTCTCAGGGGGTTTTTTTTTCAATAACAAGCTGTGGCAGGTAGTTTAGAAAAGTAGCCATTTGGAAAGTGCTGTTTATACGTCTATGTTTCTGTCTAATCTCACTCACCTCCTCATGTTCTCTCTCTCCCTGCAGACATTGATGACTGCCAGTCGAATCCATGTCAGAACGGAGGAACCTGCATCGATGAGATCAACTCTTTTGTGTGTCTTTGTCTGCCCAGCTATGGTGGTGCTACTTGCGAAAAAGGTAAAGTGGCAAATGGGATTGCTTCCCCTTTTACTCATTAGTTCATTTTAGTAAACGCTGCATGTGTGCAGGGATGAAATACATTCCCTCTTTCTAATTTCTATTAGTTCTTAGCTTACCTTAATTTTTGGATCAACCGGAAACTTTAAAAGGGGCTTCTGGGACAACCTGATTATACAAAATTACAGTAGTAAAAATGATAAAAGGAGTTTTTCAGCATTATTTCCAGAGAGTATATTCCTAATGTTAGTAATATTGTGCTGTTGAAAGTAGCTACTCCAGGATGAGGATAATGCAAAAAAAATACAGAAGAAAAACAGAGCTGTGCAGGACCAAAAGGAAGAGATGATGAAGGTGGAGAAGCAAGGTAACAAGCGAGGATAATAAAAAAAGAAGACTGGGTATTCCTCTGTGTATATGCAAAAGAGAATAAGAAGATGGTTTAAGACCAGTATGTGGAGACAAAGGTAGATTTAGGAAGATGGAGTTAATGAGTTATGTGTCAGTGAAGACAGAGGAGATAGAGGAAATGGAGAAGGAGGGGGTGAATGTAGACAAAGAAGTTGAGGAGGGGGAGACAGGGAAGCCCTGTGGCATAATGTATTGGGTTTATAGAGAACACCTGCGTCCAGCTGGTTTTGTTTCTCATTATGGGAATTCCCATGTGAGAAAAGGGGCATTTCATGGAAACGTGGCCTACATGTCACTGCAGAACACCACTGAGGGGTACTTACAGCTACTGTTTGCATTAGGGTTTGCTTTGAACAGATTTTTACCCAGATTCTACGACAGATATATTATTGGATATTTTCTAATGTAAGAACCGTGCAATCAATGCAGTCTAAAGAAAAGAAGGTCACATAACACTGACAGTTGAGACTGAAAATGAAACCAAAATTGAAGATAAAAATGGAGAAGAAATGTGTACGGCCCTCACCATGTCTCAGATTAAAAACAAAGTACAGTTATTGCATAAGTACCTTTGTAGTCTCTCAGGCAGATGCTTGTCTAAATAAACAAATGCTGATTTTCTTGGAAATCATTAGAAAGACATCCCAATTAACTTTCCTGAGAATCTTGATAAATTTCAGGGTTTCTTAAGCATGAAAATAACCTAGAATTAGTTGTCTCTGTATACTCGATACAGTGCAACCAGGGATTTCTCATAAGTAAATTGGCTCATTTGTGATGATGTAATAACTTGGGATGTCAAGTATTAACAAACGTTGGCAAAGAAAACACATTTGAGATATTGAGGGGGGCAATAACTGCGTAAAGCAAACTGTGAATCTCCTAAAATATGAGCCTTAAGATAGCGCAATTAAATTTAAAAAGTGAAAACCAATGAAGACAGCTGAGCTGACGAGTTTTAGGTAGAGGGAGAGTTAGAAAATTGTGCTTAATTAAATGCAGCCAAGCTAAGTTCCTGCCCATTCAGGTTGACCTTTGACCTTATCTCAGAAGAAGAGTTGTGTCTCTGAAGATGTGTCTTTTCTTTTAATGCAAGTTTGGCTTCTGGTCTCTTTTGCTTTTTACTACTCTTTTCTGATCTGGGACTTTGAGGGAACAACAATCGATGCTGCGCAAAGAGCGGGAAGAGAATGAAGCACAGTGGACATTTTAAATGTTGAAAACTTTAGTTTTGGTTTTGGCAGGTTGCAAAAAGAAAAGTAATGACATGTAAGCAGAACAAAAACACAAAGCTCCAAATTAGCTCTGCTCTTTGACAGCGTGCAGGTTAGTTTCCACAGCAGTTTGACACTCTAGTCCTCACTGACACATATTGACTACTGTATACTGACTTATACTGTAACATTTCTGCTCACGAATTAGCTCTTTTCTTATGTAGGTGCTTTTCTGTACATCAAAAGTAAGACTTAAAGTGTACACTGGTGTTTATCTATTAAACTCTTAGTCCCTTTTCTTTTCTGCACTGAGATAATTATTAAAAGAAAACGAATGCATTACATTACTTAATTACTCCCAAGAGACAATAATTTTTTACGCTTCATGTGACATTATTTGTGCGTCACTCTTTAACATAACCTAAAGCGCACTATCATATTATTACAAGTTAACAATGTAAGCCTACAGCCACATGCCGAATCAAATGCCTATCCCAATGAGAACATGCTTACAATCTTTCTTTTAGTGTTTAAGTTTGAATATAAAAGTTGAAAATCATCCCAAAGAGATTTCAATTTAACTTTCAATTCAATTTCAATTTATTTATTTATTTATACAGCACCAAATCACAAAAAACAGTCACCTCAAGGCACTTTATATTGTAAGGTAGACGCTACAGTAATACATACACAGAAAAACCCAACAATCATACGACCCCCTATGAGGTGTGGCAACAACTCTGATGTAGCAAAGTTGTTGCCACAGCAATTCTACAGTTGAACTATGTAAAGGTAAAAATGGAGGCTGCAATATGTTGGCTGTGTCAAAGTCACTCACCACTGACTTTGTTACCTGTTGAAGATCGGGCTGTGGCCGCTGTGCTCGGGTCTGCATACAGACAGACTAAACATCACTCTGGGTTCTTCACCTACTGTAATAGTATGTCACGATCCTGGGTCTTATGACCCAGTGTTTTGAGTTTTAGTTCATTTTGATGTTTATAGTATGTTTAAGCTCATTAGGTCTCCTATGAGACCTCATTAGGTCTCATAGGTCTCCTATGGCATGGCAGCACCGTGGCACGGTGGATAGCACTGTTGCCGCACAGCAAGAAGGTCCTGAATTCAATTCCAACACCAGGCCGGGGTCTTTCTGTGTGGAGTTTGCATGTTCTCCCCATGTTTGCGTGGGTTCCCTCCGGGTACTCCGGCTTCCTCCCACCATCCAAAGACATGCAGCTTGTGGGGATAGGTTAATTGGAAAATCCAAATTGTCACTAGGTATGAATGTGAGTGCGAATGGTTGTCTGTCCCTGTGTGTTGGCCCTGCGACAGACTGGCGACCTGTCCAGGGTGTACCCTGCCTCTCGCCCTATGACAGCTGGGATAGGCTCCAGTGCCCCCCGCGACCCTGAAAAGGATAAGCAGAAGCGAATGGATGGATGGAGGTCTCCTATGTTCATTTGCTTATTAGTACCCCCTTGTGTTTCCAACACATGTTAAGTCTCCCCTGCTCTTCATGTGTTTCATGTCTGTGTCTTACGTTGTCAAGTTCTGGTTGTCATGTCTGCGTCTCATCATGTTTCCTATTTTATTTTGAAGAGATCTTGTGTTTTTATATTATGGATTATGTTTTGAGTCCTTTGTTGTACTGTTTCTTGTTTCCCTAGGTCTCAGTTATGGTTATCATAGGTTTAGTTCTTTGGCTTTGTAATATGGCTTCCCTGTGTTCCATGTTGTGTCTACTGTGACGTTTTTGTACCATGTTTCAGGTTCCTATGTTCTGTCTTCCCAGTTGCTGTTAAGTTTACAGGTCTAGAGTTCAGTCAGTGTGTTTCCTGTTTTACTTTGAAGGTCCGTGTCTCATGTGAGTGTTTCTAGTTTTGCTTCCCTTGTCTCGTCCAGCCTGATTACTCCCAGCTGTGCTCTCCTTCTGTGTCTTTTTCCCTCGTTATCCCTCTGTGTATTTGAGCCCTGTGTTTCTCTTTGTTAGCGTCGTAGTCTCCCTCGTGGCTGTGTTTCCCTGTGTGTCAGTTTATCCATGCCCCAGTTTAGTTTTGTTATATTTTTGTGCCATTCTGCAATAAAGCAGCTTTTTGAGTTTTATTCCTGCGTGGTGAGTTTTGCGTTTGGGTCCTTCTCTTGCCTGCACACAGCCGAAACATGACATAGTATTCTGTCTGTGCAGATGTTTGCAATGAGCCCATTTTGTGTTAGTATAATGCAGCTGTTTCTGCCCTGGGTGTGATTTGCCATGTACCATAACACTCGTCCTTTTGTGGAATAAAAAGAAATGTACTGTCCATATCTGTGCTCCTGAGAAGTCATAGACTGATCTACCATGTTCCTTCTTTTTTCACACAAACTGAAACCAGCTGATTTTAGTGTAATTGTGCAGAGGGAAAAATGGACCTTTGACATTTTTTTTTTTTTTGCTATCCACCTATCATGCAGACAACTGAAGATCATTTGTAATGAATATTGGCAAATAACAGAAATGTGATTATTAATTTAGTACAGTAACACGTTACTTTGTAAAGCAGTCCACCCAGGATTTAAAATCTTATTATAGTTTTGTTTTTGTTTGTTTTTTGAAAAAGCACACACAACATAATTGAAAGCAATGCAACACACACTACAGAACATTGAGCTTAGCATTATCTCAGAGCAACACAGATGTAAACAATAATGGAGACTTTGGTGCCACAGCTTGCTGCAGTAAGAAACAGTAAAACCAGAAGGCTGAAGTTTGGATGAAAGTGCTTGGAAGGATGCAGCTTTAGTGAGAAGTGATGAGTGCTGAGACTGTTTGCAGTTATAGTTGTCAAAAATAAGTATGTTAGCTAACATTAGTCTAAGCATCAGCTGTTCCAGGACTGGCATTGTACATAAAGTCATATTTGTTGTGTACTAAAAAGCTTTTACTCCATTTCAGCTGTCCAGTGCTCCCATACAGTAGCTTGTTGTTTTACAGTCACTATTTCAAGTGCTTTCTCATTCACTTCTGTCTGCTTTTAGACTGAAAGTGCTGATTTAACTATTACAATGCTGTCATATTGCAGATTTTAATAAATGTCACAGATGTTTGATGTTATTGAGATTCTTTTGGAAGGTTTCAAATGAGTTTTGTAAACCCTTTACAATACCACAGTAGGGCATTTTGACTTGAATATATTTCTTGAAAGTCCAACAACTTCATTCACAAGCTGTGTTAAATCTTCTAAATGCTGCCTTTAATCTCACTGGTCCCTGTATTTTCATTAGTTCTCATCTGCCTCTTTTTGATCTTTAACCAGAGTAAATGTTACTTTGGTCACAGCATTTTGTAATTTTCCTTGAGCTTATGATTGTCTCTTTAATATTCATTCACTTCCT